AGTTAGGCTCTGATACCAATTGTTGAGTTAATCGAATGACAAAATTGGCCAAGAGGGGGGTGAATTGGCAATAAAAATTTTGTGGAAGCTTTTGCAGAGAATTGAAAGTATTTGCACAGTTATTTACAGTGGTTCGACTTTCTCAAACAAAGTCTACGTCCACTACCTTAGCTATCCACACTAAGGATTTTCCAACAAATTCACTAATTTGTTCTTTCTTTTGAGGCCAAAGAGATAACCTTACAATTCCCTCAAGAGTATACCCCAACTCTTGAGAACACTCTTTTCTCAAAGAGAAGATTACAAATTTGTAAACTTACAAGAAAACCTCACAAGGTAAGATGTTTGCACAATTCTAGAACAAGAAAAGAACACTCAAAGATGAATACAATTGAGCACAGAAAGTGTTCTTGAAAGCAAAAAGAATATTGAATGAAAATAGGCTAATGCTCAAAACTTGAGGTTTGATGCTTTCTCTTTGATTCTCTCTTGATTCTAGTTGCTTGATGTTACTTGTTTTTGATCAATGGCTTCTAAGCTTGCTTAAATACCCCTTGGATCACTTCTGAACGTTGGGGGATAATTAGAGAAGATATTATAGCCGTTTTAGTGTGAAAACATTTAATAAAACAGCTTGGAGAGTGGGGGGAATCGGTTCCCTCTCATAGGGAATCGGTTCCCTAAGTGTAAAATTCAAATATTTCGACCGTTGAACAGGGGGGAATCGGTACCCCCTTGGGGGGAATCGGTTCCCTCCGAGCATTCTGGAAATCTCGGAGCCAAACCATTCAGGGGGGAATCGGTTCCTCCTATGGGGGGAATCGGTTCCCTCTGAGCAATCTGGAATTTTTGGCTTTGAATTGGTTCGAAATACTTTGTAAAATTATTTTGAAATTGTTTTATGATTAAAACTTAATTTTACACTTAAGTAAGGATCAAAAATGATTTTTGAAATATTTGGAGTAATGTTTTGATTATTCGAATAGTTATATCGAATATACTTAGAAAATCATTTGGAAAATCTTAAAATCCATTTAACTTAATTTGTTATATCGAAATATTAAAATGTTTCAACATTACTCTTTGTCCTCAAAAGAAAGACAAATTAGTGAATTTGTGGAAAATTCTTACTGTGGATAGCTAAGATAGTAGACGTAGACTTTGGTTGAGAAAGTCTAACCACTCTAAATCACTGTGCAATTACTTTCAATTTTCTGCAAAAGCTTCCACCAAATTTTTAATTGCGAATTCACCCCCCTCTTGGCCGATTCCTTCAATCGATTAACTCAACAAATATGTATCCGAAATTCATAAACGTCCGAATTACTCTGGAAAAACTCTGAAGTAACTGGGATAGACTTGACTGCTAAATGAACTAAGTAACCTTAATGACTGAGGATTAAATAATTGATTTGGATGAGTATGGGAAAGCTAATGAACTTAAATGATGTGTTGTCTTTATGGGTTATGAACCACGAAACAAATACATCAGTATTTCCTGATATTATTGAAACATGGAAATGAAATAAAGACCATTGGAAGATCTATTCAACGATGATTCTGAATATGATCTATGGACAAGAATTGTTGGTATTAAAGAGTGAATACACTGGAAGGGCAATGAATTGACCATTCGACATGCATCAGTTTTGGGTGTTGTTCGACAATCCAATAGATCGACATAAATTATAAGTTCCCTAAATCTTCGTTTCTCCCTTATCAGCTCAAATCACTACGGTCATATATGAAAACACAAGTAACTCATATGCAAAGGATTCTGAATACCCCATTTGGTTCAATTGGACTAAAATCTTGTTAATTCAATACATACTCCTGAATACCCCTGATTGTTGGGTAACGAAATCACTCTCAGTAAATCTGAATCTAGAATTATTTTTTATAAAGGTTCCTGAACACTTTCCTGATGCACATGAATCATAGTGTGATTCTAAAGTATCAACCTTAAATATCGGATTAGATCGGTTAGCAATTGATTCCCTTCAATAGGACCTCGTTCCTGGAATCCGATCAAATTACATCAGTTTCATGTTATCCTTTCTGATAACTATCAAGTGTCTCTGAGAAATACTTGGATATCCTAATGTGTTCCACATGTACTACATGATGATTTTATATGTTTTTAAATGAGTTTCACCGAACTTATTGATTTATTGGTTTATGAACCATGACAACACGTTATATATTTTCCGATTACGGTTTTCACCGAAAAATATGAATTATTCCTGATTTACGACATCATGGAATCTATTGGTTTTATGATCTATGGTTACCTGAAATATGTTATCGGGTTTTCCTATTTTCACTGGAAAATATGATTATGATAAATCACATACTGAATATTTTTATGAGACAATACCCGATGTTCTTAATACAATTTATTTTAATATCTGATTTACCATATATTTCTGATATGATTTCTGGTTACGGTATTTTTGTACCTGATTTCTAAATATGGAACTTTTTCATATTTTAATGGATTAATTATCGTTTTCACTCCTAACATACATGTTTATTATTGTCATCGGGGGTATGATTGGAGAAAGTATTTCTGGCTCCTCTACTATGTGCAAGGGTAAGTTCTTACCGTTACCACAGGTTCCTTTGTTGTGTGTAAGGGTAAGCCTTACAGTTTCCCAAGGTTCCTTTACTGTGTGCAAGGGTAAGCCTTACAGTTTCCCTAGGTTCCTTTGCTGTGTACAAGGGTAAGCCTTACAGTTTCCCCGGGTTCCTTAGCTGTGTGCAAGGGTAAGCCTTACAGTTTCCCCAGGTTCCTTTGCTGTGTGCAAGGGTAAGCCTTACAGTTTCCCAGGTTCCTTTGTTGTGTGCAAGGGTAAGCCTTACAATTTCCCCAGGTTCCTTTGTTGTGTGCCAGGGTAAGCCTTACAGTTTCCCCATGTTCATTTGCTGTGTACGAAGGTAAGCCTTACAGTTTCCCCATGCTCCTTTGTTATGTGCAAGGGTAAGACCTTACCGTTTCTCAGGCTCTTTTGCTATGTGCAAGGGTAAGACCTTACCGTTTTTGCATGCTCCTCTGCTTTGTGCACAGTGTAAATATGTTTTAAACTACTACTGTTTTAAAAAGATCTGTATCTTTTCACTGGTTTTGTGGGAACACACTAGATAACCTATCCTGATATCCTGAACTCAGTCATCCGAAATATTTCCATCTGAACTGAAAGCTTACTGTCTGTTACTACTTGAGATATCAGACACAACCTAAAAATCTATAGATGTTTGAACCAATAAGGAAATATACGATTATCTGTTATCTGCATCTCCTGTAGCATTATCTGGTAGTTCGGTATTACTGAGCTTTTCAAAGCTCACTCTGTTACTCACTCTTTTCAGGTTAAAAGGATTGAACTAGTACAACTATCGACATCAGTAAGGGGTTTCTTCCGACGTTGTTTGCAGAGTATGGTACATGTGATTAGGGGTATGTAGATTGTATTTTGTTTTATATCTGAGTCTGAAAACCTGTTTTATTTCTTAATATTGATAAATCATTTTATGAGTTTACATGTTTTAATAAAAGTTTTAAATCAGTGACTCTAATGTGATACCTCAAATCGGATCGGGTCAATTTTAAATTAGATGGTATTTAATGAAAAACAAAACCATAAGAACCCTAAGCAAATCGGCAATGTACAACAAATTAAGTCAATCACCAGCCACACGTTTTTGGAATGATATGAGAGATGGAGAGGTTGACAGATGAGAATCACTGAGTGAGCATAAAAAAAACCATCACTATATGCATTTTCTAAACGATATTATTTGAAAGAAAGAAAAAAAACTTCATTACTATTTTTGATGTTGTCCAATTTTTGTAATTTTTTTAAATATATAATATATAAAAAAATTTTGTATCCAAAGTTCACCAAATCATATTTTATAAAATTATGCATATACACGGGCCAGAACATTAAGCATGGAAAGATATTGCAAGTCCAAATCATATTTTATAAAATTATGTATATAGACGGGCCAGAACATTAAGCATGGAAAGATATTGCAAGTCCAAATGTCAGTCAAGTAATAATAACATCTTATAACCACCAACTAAGTTTTAATTATATTAGTGTCATTATTGATTCAACATTTTAAAGATTACGAAAGTTTAAGAGATTGTGGCCGCACAAACTAGCGTAGCTAGCTGCCCAAATGTCATATCTACTGTCGGCTCCGAAAAGCCCAATTGGTTCTAGCTTTTCATCCTTCCTTCTCTTTTTCCAATATTACCTGCCTATTATCGACTTGGATGAAAATGCATAGAAAAAATAACCCATTTTACCACCCCCAAAAAATGGAAGAAGAAAAAAATAACCCTAAAAACACTAACTCTATCATGAAAAACATGTAGCATCGACAGGGAACCTGGTGATTAACATACTTCTTGTGTACTTCAATTTTACCTTTTTTTTAAAAATAATGATACACTTTCTTGAATTTCACATTGGATCAACGCCCTCCATCATGGGACGTAACAGTACACATGATGATGAATGCCCTAATACTATATCAATATATGTCAGCCCAAAAATAAAGGAAAGACATGGTCAAACTAGGACTTGTAGTACCGTTTCCTCATTAATGTATAAAGGAGAATTTGTGTGCAAACTAGGACTTATAGTACCATTTCCTCATTAATGTATAAAGGAGAAAAATGAAGAAACGTGAGAGAAATGACCAAAAAAGCATCTACATTAACTAAACAACATGCAAATGCAAATCAGCAGAGGTATTAAAAACATGATCAACATCACCGACTTCTACTTCAACTCAAGAAAACATGATTCAAACTCTAATATCCTTTTACAAAACGTTACCAAATCTTAAACAAAACATTCAAGTAATAAAGTGATACTCTTAAAACCCTTCTAACCCTAACAAGCAAGCAGCCCTATTTCATAAGAAACCCCGTCAGAAGCTAACGTCGCTAGTTGTTTAAACGAAAAAAAAGGGCAACAAAGGGAGCTTTATAAACGGAGAGTGAGATCAACATTTACAGATTCATCGACATCAGTGCTCGGTGATGTGGTATCGGGAGAAGAAACAGGACTCGTGATGAAACCTTGAGTAACAAAGCCGGCAGACTGGCAGTATTGGTGTTGGACGTGGAAGGGGTCAAGCCACTGGTCTAGATACGATGCACCGGCAGCACCAGGGTAATTCATAGGTGGGTCTATTTTAATGGTGAAAGAAGGGTTAACCTGTTGCTGAAAGTTGTATTGTTGGGGGGACAGACTCTGGTCATGGTCACCGGGGAGCTTCCTTCGAGATGCGGCTCGTTCTTGCCTGTGGGCATTTTGGTGACCACCGAGAGCTTGAGAAGTAAAGAACTTCCTTGGACAGAACTGGCAATAGAATAGCCTAGGAACAGCAGATGGTAAAGCTCTTTGGGGATGGTGTTTCTTGATGGGTTTTGAAGCTGAAGACGGCTCGGGATGATGATTGAAGAAGTTGTACATTGAAGGGTCCGCCATTGTAGTTGCAGGGAAAACAGAAAAGGATCACCAAAGGTAAAACAGAAAGAGATGAGATGGGAAAGGGAAGGGTTGAGGGGGTTTATATGGGGTTTAAGGTTTTTGTTTGTATTCACGTCCGCCAAACGCTGGCAGAATACGCGATGATTGGCACTTGGCAGTGAGCTGGTGGACGAATTTGCCCCTCTGGTTATTGGAATATGATCCATGCATATGCAAAACACATACAATAGGGCTGTGCATGGCCAATGGATGTCTCTAAACTGATAGAAAACTTCGTCTGAAATGTACAGAAGTAGATTTGATGCAATGCTAGACACATCCACGGGTTTAACTGCATGTGAAAATCATCAGGCTTCTTTCTATTTGCATAAACTCATCATACTCAACCCAATACTAATCCTTTTCATCTATTTTGATAAATAATCTCTTATATCATTCACTTTTTTTTTTTAAACATCAAAGGAGTAAACTAGAATAGTATAGCATGAAGCTTAACGCTGTGTGTTGTTTCACATGTTACGCATTAGTTGTCCTATTTTGAGTTGAGAACAATTTTAAAAAATAATATAATAATTGGATAGTGTTATAATGTAGTATTTGTTAAGAATTTTTTTAATTTATTGACAATACATGCATCTTGAAGGAGTTAATCGAACTCGAATAGTTTAAGTATTAGTTGTCCTATTTTGAGTTGAGAACAATTTTAAAAAATAATATAATAATTGGATAGTGTTATAATGTAGTATTTGTTAAGAATTTTTTTAATTTATTGACAATACATGCATCTTGAAGGAGTTAATCGAACTCGAATAGTTTAAGTAGAATAAAATATTGTTTTATCATTACAACCAATGAATAGGTTGTATGTTGAGTATATAAAGAAGGGCAGAATGGGAATGAAGTGGATTAAGAGAATAAAGGACGATAAGTTGCAATACGTACAGCTCTTATCATGAGCATGTTATGTCAGTGACAGTGACTGACTGCTCCAATCCAAATATTCCACTGCTCCCTCTTTGTTAGTTTCTGCCAACCGCTCAGCCTTGCCCTCCCTCCATTTCTGCAAAACAATGTTATCTGGACTCATGGCTACCATTGATAGAGGCTCAGAGAGAGAGAGAGAGAGACGGATGTACAATACAAAACAATGCACCAACTTCAAGTGGGAAAAATATGATCAAAGGTTCAGCTAGGGAGTGAGAAAAAATAATTATTTACGCAAACATCCTGGGGAAGAACAAGTTCTTTGTTATTATAGTGAACATAGAAAGTAACCCTATAATGACTTCGCTACAATATGATTACCCAACGTAAAATTCTTTAAAAATGAAAACCCATTTGTTCTACTGGGTTGGCTTAAATAATTTGAATAACTCAATTTTTTTAAATATATTTATTAATCAAATTTTATTTTCCTCTGACTCACTTTTTACCATGCAATGAAATATCTTGATAATCCTTTTAGTTTCAAACACCATATGTAAGTTTAACCCTCTTCCGGCCAAACAGCTCGGTTTCTCATCAAGAAGCATAACACATAGTGGCTATCAGGCGCCGTCAAATCTTCACTCTTTTATGTTGGCCATCACTCCGCATTCAATATTTCAGTTGTTTTGGGCAAAGATTTCAAGGATGGTTACTTTCCAGTGAAGAGAAATATATACATAAATATACAAGGAAGCCAGGCCGAGCCAATTTAGTAATGTTTTTAACCCGTCAAATTATTTGAGACTAAAGAGATATATACAGATTGATCAGGTTACTACCATTTCGAGATGAGATGACTGCAACGAAACAAGCGATAGCTATGAACAAAGTTGGCATAAAAAGTATGCCTCTGTGACGTAAATTACACGTTTTAGTTGGCGATATCGAAGTATCTTGGATCATCTGGATAATGGTATTCCACGTTCAACTGCCATTAGACATCAATAAACTTATTAGAGGAGTTCATTTTTTGTGTTTATGTATATATGTATAGTGTAGGAAATTGGATTACCTTGCTCTCATCTGCATCCGAATGACGTCGAGGGAAGACAACTCTAAAGTCATTGTACAAATAGAACCTCCGGTCCCCGTTTTTGTCAAAGTCGGTCTTTTGTGGAACTGATCCTGGATCAGATTTACATCTCTGAAATGACTTTGCAGATTTCTTGGGGGAAGGGCAAAGAAATCGAAGATGAAGAGCGTATCGTAATGAACCAGCACCATTAGTATTTTTGTTGATCTTAACACCAGAATGGGGAACTTTCCGGTCAGTTTTCTGACATGCATCAGTGCAGGTGTAATCCTTGCACTGATCATTGTTTCCGCCAGTCATTTGTATTGAATCCAAGCCTTCACTGCCTTTAACTTCACCACTGTTCAGTTCAGTAGAGTTGGTATTAGAAGATGCTAGTGTTATTTTCTGGCGCACGAACGTCTACAAACAAGAGAAAGATCGTTTGTTACTTTCATTTGGATTGCATGCAATTATAGGGAAGCACAAACATTCAGAAAAAATAAGCATCCATGATATCAACTTGATACCAAAAATAAACCAAAACTAAATCCTTTCATTGCATCTTAACGATCCTTTTTATAGAATAGTGTTGATCTTGAAGAGCAAAGGATTAGTAAGGTATATTTTTATCACTTTCGTAACATTCAGTTTCCAACGGCTAAAATAAAAGGACAATGCAGATTCAAATTCATATTACCTTGGTCCCAGCTGGCATGTCACTCAGATCATAGCTGCAAAGGAACGTATGAAGAGGTGTTTTCTCTGGATTGCTAAGAACCTGCATAGGAACCCACCAAGAAGAAATATAACCCATTTCTGACATAATACTCTAGGCAGGATAAGGACATGATAAAAATGTCTATAGTTTGATGCAATTTACGAAGCCCAAGAACGAATATGATAGGAAAACAAAGAACTACACACAAGAATTGGCCAAATTCTAGTAGGATTTCAACCAAGGTTCCAAATGCCAATCCAACTAAAGTAAAAGAAAAGCATGATGTAGAAGGCTAAAGAAAAATGCTATGAATGCTCAAAAACAGACTAGCAAATAGTGGCAAGCCTTATTTGTTAATAATAATGGTAATATTTGAGTTTCAACAGAAGATATAATGTTGTAGAGCTAGACTAAAGCTTAATTCATAACATCAAGACGCCAGATTCTAACTGGTTAATTGGCAACATCAAGACACAGACTAAAAACTAGTAGCAAGGCTTACCAATTGTATGCGCCCTTTCATAGGAATATGCAACCGGCTTCTAACAGGTTGCGGTTCATCATTGGTTAGGCCTCTTTTCAGCTTCTGATCTTGACATTTATTTGAAGATGAATTCCTTGAAAGATCTATGGATGCATAATACAGGAGAGAACAATCCCCATCCACACTGGTTACAGAGAACGGAAGTTTCTGCGATTTTGTTGAGAAGCTCCCTCCAGTTATGCTTAGAACAGCTAAGAATCCATCAATCTTCCAAGTATACAAGACATAAGCAGTAAACATATGAGAAAGCAGTAATCTGTGAATGAAAATTTTCCTATTCAGACTCAGAATAGAACAAATAATCGACGTAAATTTACAACTAACCTGACTGTGCTTTCCAGAAAAGAACCTTCCAGACAATAATGACTCTTCAAATGAACCAACCAAGGACCTCCTAACAGGAAGTCCACCCAAGCCTTTTATAGATCTTATACATGGAGACATGGGGGCTGGTTCGTGACAGGAAGGCCAGCCTACACCGGCAGCATTTTCCAGACGACGACAAAATTCTTTGTGCAAATAACCAATATCTTCAAATGATCTGCTCGAAACCTCAAACTCCTCTTCTTCAGGTTCCAATATAATACCAGAGTTAAACCTTTCAACTGAATGTTCTAAATTCTTTAGAGTTGAACGAAAATCATTGATATACTTTTTAAGATTCCTGCACCCTCCAACAGCTGTTAACCTTTCACTGAACTTTGGACCAAGCGGTGATAAAGAAACAGGTGAAGTTTCAATTTGGGGGGATATAGATATTGCTCCACTTCGGGACCTTAACTTACTTGATTCTTGGGATTGATCAGGACCAGATGAATACGAAAAATTACGAGAAAGATGTGATTCCTTGTTTTCCAGTAAAGGACCATCTGTAAAAATAACTGAAGCAGTTTCCCCTTTGTTATATAGATTGGTTCCATGTTCAAAGCAGCTTGACAAAGAGCAGGATGGTGTCGTGAAATTAATTTTGCTACCAACATTTGCTTTCTTATTGTCTTGTGGAGCAGAAACCCTGTACTTATCAGCTAAGGAAGAGGAGTTTACTTGGGTGCTGCTATAGCTAATGTCTAGAGGGTCGCCATAAAATTGATCCGAGAAAAGCATGCTATTTAGTGGAGACAACAGTCGCTTCCTGACTAAAGACACACTAGACTCTGTTTCAATAGCTCTGACACCAATAGAAGATTGAACATCACTAGGAGTCCCCTCCAGTACCTTACCAGTTCCATGTGATTCAAAACCCACAATCCTAGAAGCAGGGTTTTGGATTTTCAAACCACTTCTAGGAGGGGCAAACGATCCAACATCATTGGCATAGCCAATTTTCAGCCCATGGGCATTGGGTGAAGCATTCGTTTTCCCTCCAAGTTCGAAAGAATCCTCTGAAAGCTCCAGAGAAGGTTTCCTTTGAAAATCTCCTAGTGATGAACACAGGGAACCCCCAATAGTCTGGTTAAAACTTCCTCCGCGCATACAGTCTAAGCCACAGGTGCTGACACCTGAAAGCTGTGGTGGGCTTTGCGAAAATGCATCTACGGATGTGGCTTGACCTTCCTCAGAAATATCATCTGAGGGAACTTGCGGCAACCCCATTGTTAAAATTGTAGAGAATGGTGGACCAAGTAATGTAAGTGGAGCTAAATAAGTTATTCCTCCTCTTCCTTGCTCACACTTTCTAGCCTCTATTACTTTTCCACAATGCAGTATTTCCTAATCAATTCTAATTATTCAAA